ACATGTGCCCAAGGGCAGTTCCCGAATCCACATACACTTTTTATGGCCAATAACTTGTACATACAGTAAGCGTTCAAAATGGGGACATTTGATTTTCAGAGTTCTGATCCCATAGACTTTCATTGAGTTCGAAGTTCGAGTTCAAGCTTTTTTCATGTTCTAAAGTTCGAACTCAAACCGAACTCAGCTGTGTTCGGCCCATCACTAGGAGATTGTACTGTGTTATAAGATTTAGATTTACCAACAGGAGTATGATGAAGTATGATGGCCTACCTCAACAATCCGTTCATCTTCCTACACTATCATTGATCAAATCAATTTTTGACCAATAGGGAGATAGGAAGGTAGGAGAAGGCGGAGCCAAGCTCATCTTTTACAACAAAAAGTCAAAGAATTCATACAATATAGGCTGCCAGAAATTCTAGATATACTGAATAGTTTGGCATGCTATTGTAACCACATGTAACCCTGTATATGTATTGGAGGAGCTCAAAGGGGGGTTTGAAACTGATCTGAGGTGTGAAGGTGCAGGAATTGGGGCTGATCTGAGGTGTGAAGGTGCAGGAATTGGGGCTGATCTGAGGTGTGAAGGTGCAGGTCTTAGGTTTGACTAGAGATGTGATGGTCGAGGAATTGGGGCTAATCTGAGGTATGAAGATGCACATATTGGGGGTGATCTGGGGTCTGTGGGTTCAGGAATTGGGGGTGATCTGAGGATGCAGGAATTTGGGGTGATCTGAGGATGCAGGAATTTAGGGTGATCTGGGGTCTGAGGATGCATTGATTGAGGTTGATGTGGGGTCTGAGGGTGCAGTAATTGGGGGTGATCTGTGGGTGCAGGAATTGGGGGTGATCTGAGGATGAAGGAATTTGGGGTGATCTGGGGTCTGAGGGTGCAGGAATTTGGGGTGATCTAGGGTCTGTGGGTGCAGGAACTGGGGGTGATCTGGGGTCTGAGGGTGCAGGAATTGGGGGTGATCTGGGGGTCTGAAGGTGCAGGAATTGGGGCAGATCTGGGGTCTGAAGGTGCAGAGGGGTGCATAGTTTGGTGCCAGTAGTATTATTGGTAAATATGTTGTGTGTGCTCCAGTGAATAATAAAATATATTTGCTGAACCATTACTACGTCAGCATACAATATATCATTGCCGGACTGCCTGTAACATTCATACATATGGAGAAGGTCGCTGGGCTGACCCCTGCACATCATACATAACGCACACAGCGCTGTGATGCCAGCAGGTGCAGTCGCGCACACAGTACAGCAGGGGGCCGGTGTAACGTGTGATCGCTTTGAATTTCCCGCAGTCGTGACTTTGTATCCGGTGAGTGTAACTCGTGAATGAAGCGGATACATTGTATGTGATCTGTGAATTCCCGACCAGCCCGCTCCCGCGATCCGACTTCTTATGCAACACTCTGCTTAACCCCTTCCAGCCCGCATCGATCGAACAGTGACAGGAACCGATCTCTGTCATTCTGAGGGCGGGTGTGTGTTAGACATCAACCCCTGACACCCCATTAGGGGGCGCAGAGCCTCCAATGATCAGCGCGGTGCAATCGGATAGTGATAACGGCGTGTCGGGGCATCTGTCACAGTCTTCCTTAAATTTTGTGCCGTTGAAGGGGGCGGGGCCCGGGAGGAGATTGGACGGTGGGCGGGGCCATGCAAGAGCGCTCATTTTTTTTTCTTTTCAAAAAAAGCCGAAGAAAAACCGGCAACGAGCGAAATAGAGAAAGGGGGGGGAGGGGAGGCAGGATGATGTGGGGGAGCAGTGTCAGGAAAGAAGGGATGATTAGGATGGGGGAGCAGTGGCAGGATGATGTGGGGGAGCAGTGTCAGGAAAGAAGGGATGATTAGGATGGGGGAGCAGTGTCAGGATGAAGAGGAGCAGATGTGGGGAGCAGTGTCAGAAAAAAGGGGGTGAGGAAGAGATAAGGAGGGTGAGGTTAAGCATGATGGGGAGCAGTGTCAGCATGAAGATGAGATGAAGGAGAGCAGTGTCTGGATGAAGAGTAGGAGATGTGGGGGAGCAGTGTCAGGATGAAAATGAGGGGGAGCAGCGTCAGGATGAAGATGAGATGTGGGGGAGCAGTGTCAGGAGGGATAGTAGACATGGGGGGTGGGGTTGCAATTTCAGGATGAAACAGTGTAGGGATGAAGGTGAGGAGATCTTGGGGGAGCAGTGTCAGGACCAAGAGGAAAAGAGAAGGAGATGTTGGGAAGCATGTCAGGATGAAGAGATGTGTGGGAGCAGTGTTAGGAGAAGGAGATATTGGGGAGCAGTGTCAGGATGAAGAGGAGGAGATGTGGGGGAGCAGTGTTAGGATGAAGAGAAGGAAATATTGGGGAGCAGTGACAGGATGAAGAGGAGCAGTGTCTGGGGTACTAGTAGATGTGTGACATAAGATGGGGGGGTGCAGAGGAGGTGTTTGGCATGGGGAGGGGGGCTAAGGACAAACACCATGACAGAAAGAAAAGCCGACAGAGGTCTGTAGCAGGGAACAGAGGTGGACGATGGTTGGGGTGCAGTGACATGGTTGGGGGGATCGTGCTGTAGGAGTATATTGATGGAGGGAGCCGCTGACAGTGCAGATGGGACGGGAGGAGAAGGACTGTACAGGAACTGAGCACAGCTGAACATGACAAGACTCTGGTGACAGCAGAGATGACAGAGGAGAAGCGGACTCCCGCAGAGATCCATATACACAGTCTAAGGATGGTGCAGAGGACAGTCCCGGGTCCACATGGACACTCTGGGAAGTGTATAGGAGGAGAGGTGACAGGGGAACAGTGAGGCGGTGCAGGGGTTAATCAGTAAACTGCTGTCACGTCTAACGGTTATTGCTGAGAGATGGAGGGAGGAGAAGTACCGAGCCGACTACAGGGTGAGGATCCGACATCTCACCCACCGATCTGCCTGGATGGAAAGGATCACCATGATAATCTGGCCTCTATAATGGCCCTGCATCTGACTGGTTCTGAGTCCACTTACCGCACTGGAGGCTCTCTGCTGAATTGGAGGTCCCTCTACTCATCGTGTTGGAGGTCCCTCTGCTCATCGTGGTGGAGGTTCTGTGCTCATCGTATTGGAGGTCCTTCTCATTGTGTTGGAGGTTCTGTGCTGCATTGGAGGTCCTTCTACTCATCGTGTTGGAGGTCCCTCTGCTTACCGTATTGGAGGTCCCTCTACTCATGGTGTTGGAGGTCCCTCTGCTCATCGTGTTGGAGGTCCCTCTGCTCATCCTGTTGGAGGTCCCTCTGCTCATCGTATTGGAGGTCCTTCTAATTGTGTTGGAGGTTCTGTGCTGCATTGGAGGTCCTTCTACTCATCGTGTTGGAGGTCCCTCTGCTTACCGTATTGGAGGTCCCTCTACTCATGCTGTTGGAGGTCCCTCTGCTCATCGTGTAAGAGGTCCCTCTGCTCATCCTGTTGGAGGTCCCTCTGCTCATCGTATTGGAGGTCCTTCTCATTGTGTTGCAGGTTCTGTGCTGCATTGGAGGTCCTCTACTCATTGTGTTGGAGGTCCCTCTACTTACCGTATTGGAGGTCCCTCTACTCATGGTGTTGGTTATGTGCAGGAAGTCCTTTATTGCAATCATTGAGGATGTTTTCTGCAGACTGCTTCGGATGTTCTACAACAGTTTAATGATGGAACCATGGGTCACTTACCTGCTTTCTACTTACCTTCCTGGAGGTTACTGGAGGCTCTTCACCATTGGCATGGATGTTATGAAATATTCTCCTTGACACGGGATCTTTCATAGTCCTCCTCCAGATTGTCCTCCTGCCAGCAGCCCTCAGGAATTGAGGCATTGTTGGTCTTTTAAGGGGGAGAGCCTACACTTCCTGGAGGTTGCATCATCACACATCACTGGAGGCTGAAGAATGCACCGACCTGGAGGCTAAACGTGGGCGGAAAAAAAAAAAACAACGATTTTGTTGACTGTCGCCTTGAAGCTTCCGAACTTGTCCGGATCTAGACCGGTCATGATGGGCTCAGCCTCCAAAACCCATCCGGTCCAAACAGTAAGTCCAGATGGCACACTTGACACTTTTGTGGCACAATCACGAGCTGAAAAGGCAAATCTAGAATTGTAGGACAGATGTGGATGGCTTCTGAAAACTAGAGGCGGTGTCTGTAGTGTGCAATAGACTTATGATCTGTGAACCTGGTGGAGCCGTTACCCATAGCAACCTCCAAATCCCAGATCTGTATCCCATATCCAGGTCACCAGATCTGATCTTCATGTATCAATCATTCAATTAATTGATTAATCAATTCAGATCAGAAAACAGAAGCGGCCTCAGCAACCAATCAGGTTTCAGCTTCCATCCAATGGAAATAAAACAAGAACTCTGATTGGCTGCTCTATTTGACTCACTAGCACATTAGAGTTGGCTACAACCTGATCTGTTGCTATGGGCAACAGCAACCTTTACTTCCTCCTGATTGAAACACAATGGAGCTCTTGTCCAATAGGATTGCTCTATTGCATCACATCCTGGTTGCTATAGGAAACAGCTCTGCTTACCCTCCAGTTTTCAGAGGCTTCAGAACAGGTTTAGTTTTCAAATACGATTTAATACTGTCCATATCAACCAATCACGATCACGAAGCAAGGGATTTTAGGGGTTGACATGAGTAACTGCTTCAGTTTTTATGGCAAATCTGCACTGGACATAAAAAGGAGGGAAACAGAGGCTGATCAGATGTCAGGGAAGCAGATGACAGACGTGCCAGAAGTCGGGTCCATGCATGGATTTTGCATAAAAGAGAGGTGGAATGGAGGCTGGTGGGAAGGGATGGAGGCTGAGGATGAAATAAGAAATGCAGGTATGGGGAGGATGGGAGGCTGATTGATGGGACAGGAGAGATGAGCTGCTGCAGAAGGAAGGACAGAAAGAAAGATCTTACAGAGGAGGGCTAGAACAAGGAGAGGGGAGGCTGCGAATGAGAAGAAGGGATATCTGCTCATCACGTGTGCACGCGGGGGGCGGGGCCCTGGCACCAACTTTTTTACGAGTATTTACTACGATCCCCCTATTAGCTCAGAGCCCCGGCTGTCAGCCTGCTTTATGCCATGCCCCAATAACCCGCCGCCCTGCCCAGGACCCCACAGCCCAGCATGGCAGACCCTCTGGCGGACCTGATGACAACGGCCGCTGCCCGGGGGGACCTGGAGCAACTAGACGACCTGCTGCGCTCTTCGCCCAACGTGGATGCGCCCAACCGCTTTGGCAGGACAGCCCTGCAGGTGGGTGTGAGCGGGGTACAAAGAGGG